TAAAATATACTTTTTCAAATTAACTATTACACTTAAACATTACCAGTTAATGTGAGAATATGAAGCACGAAATTTGAGTATACGGAAACTGGCGCTGTCACGCAACGAATCAAGAAATCATAGTTAGTACAGGGACCTCTTAAACTGGCATGGACTTTGCGTGACTATGATAATATCTGTCTGTAAAACCTCGGTTGTCGATGAAAAACGTTGATTTTTAGCAATAGACAGAGGTTGAAAGTTAGTTAGTGAAACCATTTATTTAAGGTATATATATTAAAGTCAAGGCGTCCGAGTCGAACGCACTCTCATAATCTTTGATTACTACTAGTATATTACACCATTCTTATTCTTTTTGTCTTTTTGTCTTTTTTTCAGGTTGTTTGGGATCCCTGGTGTTTGCGCTGCGTGCAACAAGTCAATAGCCGCGTTTGAATTTGTAATGAGGGCCGGGAAAAACGCTTACCATATCGAATGCTTTTCGTGCCAGATCTGCAGACAGAGGTTTAGAGTTGGAGAAAACTTTCATTTTTACAACAATAAAGTCCTTTGCTGGGATCACTACAGACTCGAGAAGGAAGAAGACAAAACCAACGAAAATTCGACGATATAAACAATCACTGGATGAATCAGATTAAATTTTGATAAACATTTCAATATAAAAATGAGCGATAGAAATTTTACACAACGTTTCGATGTCGTCATGACATCATTATCAAGTGACAAGAAAATAACGTTTCAACAGTGTTATATATGCGGTGAGAGGTGTGATTGTTCATTAACATATTTGTTTAAACAAATAGTTTCGAATCGAATCCGCTAAAATACACTAGACAAAGTGGATTTACAACAAATAAACAACAATTATAAATGAAAGAAACTCGATTTAAATGATTGAAATGTTGTCTCAGTACAGACAAAATATCACAGTTATAAAGCAATATATCTCACTGAATATTGTGCTGATTGCTGAGAACAAAATATTAATTGTGATGAAGAGTCACATTATTTGTAGAGAACCTTATTTTTTCTACAACACGAATGAAATAAAATGAGAGAGAATATAATAAAATGTTGTCAAAAAATGTTGTAAATAGACAACAAAAAGAGTATAATTACCTAGTAGATATTTATCGGATTATTTGATCATATTCATATGTTAATTGAAGCAATATAAATTTTAATTAGTACTTACTATTATTGCTATTATTAGTGGAATGACAATGACGCGTTAATTGTGAATAAAGTATCAATAATACTCATCAGTGTCGCCTCTGCTCTTAGCAAACTATTTCTCTTTAGAAAACAAATGCTTGTCATTCGTTTTCGAAAGTGAAGTCATCTCGTCAAGGAAGGCGACTATTCAGAATAGGTTTTCAAGAAACTTCGCCTATAATCTTGGTAGAGATTATTATTTGCCTGCAATCAGTTTTTATTTCTGTGATTCAAATTTCTTCCTTTTTATTCTGTTGTCGTCTTGTTCAAAAGAGAATTCAGCTATAAGCGTCTCTTTGTTTCGAAATTAAAAACTGCAATAGCTTACCCTCTCACAAATTCCAGCTACAGCAGCTGTTGTATACCGCACCTGAGACTTATTTGATTTTGTTTATCACGAAAGCAATGAGAAACAACAAGTCATCCACAGTCCGCTTGCTGACAAATGGCGATTCGGTTTTACACTGTTGCAATGTAATCTGACGGGAATTTTCGTTTTGTGTTGTTTCGATTTCTCTTTTCACTACGGTTTAAACAAAGGCTTCGTCTATAGTTTTCTTTAGGAAGAAGGGCGTGTTCGTATTTTTTCTTTGCATGCAGGACATTTCCACGCACACTCTACCCTATCAAATCATCAAACCAGTTGTTTGCTTTACAAATCTTCTTTTTTCCTTGAATACCACTTACGTTTACAGGTCCCATCGGCACCGAGTTCTTGTCCAGAGGGGCATGTAATCCTGGTACACTTGTAATAACCGACCGTGTTCTCGCACTGTGTCCCTCGACGGCAGGAATGTTGTCCAGTCGAGCACTCGTCGATATCTAAGCATTCAAAACAGTGTAGTCAATTGACTGGAATCCGTTTATTTCCGCCTTCATCTCCAGGCTCTCCGCGGCGTTCCAGGGCGTTTAGATGGCGGAAAGGTCGCTTTGGGACCCATGCGTGCGTGGCGGAATGGGAAAATGAGCGGACTGTACTCACAGTGAAAAAACGACAATTTTGTTTGATTCAGGCATCCTTCATGCTTGGTTTAAACGCTGAAATAATCCTGATAAGGCAGTTTTCTCTTTCCTGTATTAAAACGATTCCTACTGTGCACCTTAAAATAGGTAAGTCTTACCCTCGCATTTGTTATTCCGTAGTTGTAGTCCTCTTTCGCATTCACAGCGATAAGACCCGGCGGTATTGACGCAGCTTGAGTTCGCAGGGCAGCTAGCCTCTTTTGTTTCACATTCGTCTTTGTCTGTTGATATCAAAGAACACTCATGCAATAATGTGTAAGTTGCCAGCAAGGAAACACATGATTTACAGCACTATGAATATATTTTGGCTGGTAAATAAATTTTCCAATCTTGACTTTTTGTATGAAACATCCATCGAAACACTTTGAATAACATACGCATTTAACATAGAGCTAGACGGATTTGCAAATTTTGGAATCGTCTTTAAACAAGCTTCATTTGTAGACACTGACCAACACAGGATCTCCCAGAAGCTTCGTAGCCTCTCCTGCAGGCACAGCTGTAAGATCCATCATTATTCACGCATGTCTGTTGACTGCCACAGCCGTGTTGTCCACGCGCGCACTCATCGATATCTGTTAATCAAAGAACCATATAAAGTGTAACCTTCAAGTTAGGTCCAGTTCGATACCGAAAATACGAATATGGAATACGACCTATTGATTTTGGAGTCATGCCACGTTTTACAAGGAAATAATGTAATTGTGGTAAAGAAGTAACGTTTCAGATTGATCGATGATTGGTTACTAAGTGAGAACGTCACAATTTAGCAAATTATAGGATTAGGTCTCGTGTAAAACACATCATAACAGAAGTAAAATACGTGCCTGGTTTTAGTTTTCGTGTTAGAAGGTTTGGAAACGGGAGAAGACTTCATCATGTATATTATTAAAACATTCTACCCACCTATACATCTGCCGCCCAGCTCTTGTTCTCCCAGTTTACATGCTGCCGCAGTTTGATTGTCACATTTGTAACTACCAGCAGTGTTAATACACCGTTCTAAAGGACTGCAAACATTTTTTCCTCCTGCCTGACACTCATCAATGTCTGCAACAAAAGGAAGATGTTGTATTGGAGTCTTTCCTTCAGGAAAGTGGTGTATGTTTTGACACCCTAATAACCTTTGCCATCCGACAATTGCCTTCAATGGAGATTCTGTACTGCCTTGGCTAGTTAACCAGGGGTTGTCTGTTAGTTAATTTCGTCGGAATTCATTGAACCAAACTTCAGTTGCGTTGGTAATTTTTAAGATGCGTTTCAAAACTTTTTGGTTATTCCAATATTTTCCGGTCACGTGGAGCAGTCTTTCCATTTACGTTCCAACCAAAACATCCCGAAATAAAAATAACAGCGAAAAAGAGACTAATGTATGGCTACCTTTACAAGACACTCTGTCAGGTTGTAGGCGGTAACCGTCACGACAGCTGCACTGTGCGCCTTCAGTCGGTGAATCTTGACACTCTTGATCACAGAAATTGTCGGAACATTGCGGTTTCCGAGACTTGATCGTCGGAATAACCGTAGGTATCTTTACCTTGCCTGTTAAGAAAATATCAACATCTCTGTTGGACAATCGCGTGTATAAAACCGTGTACAAGCAGCTGCGGCTTAAGTTATTTTCTTGATAGAAATGCTAAGTAAGTCAACAACAACAAAGCCCACAAATGAGCATTCTTCTCACCACTGCAGCATTCGCGGAAGGCCTGGACGCACGGAAAGCTAAAGTTGTTTGACATGAGTTCAGGGAACTTGGCGGTAGAACAGGAAGCGTAAGGATCCGCTTTGGCTTTGATTCCCAGGGAACAGCAGTCACAACACTCGCGGAAATTATCTCCACCAACGAATGGTCTGAATGTATCGCACGGCTGCCCAAGGCTAAAGAACAGAAAAACGTTATCCTCAAAAATGATTCACCTGTGAAGGTTTATTGTCGATTTAACCACTAATAAGAAATGTTTGTAGATTTTGTGATAAAATATGTCTAAAATCATACGGAACAGTCCCTCTGCAGCTGAGGATCACGCAGCCTTTTAATGAATATTTTTTAATATTGGCTATGATTTGAAGAATATGAAAAATAAAAAGAGAAAACAAATTTAGCAAGCTGGTGAAGCATCTGAAATATTTTGGTTGAAAATTTCCAAATTTTCGGCGAGAATTGCCTCTTGAAAAAAATAAAATATAGCTTACCGAACTGCTCCAAAAATGTAAAAATTACTTCAATGGAAAATTGTAATAATAACTTACGTTGCCTCATATTTTCCACTCTGACAACTCAACTTCTGCATTTCTTTGACGCAGCAAATTCTCTCAGCATGTCGGCAGATAAGACGATCACGCGGGGTTTGGAATCTTCGACGAGACAAATCATCTGAATTACACGAAGTGGGATCAGCACTCTTCTTGGCTTTTAGGCGACCTTTGGAACAGCATCGAACTACCCAGCTCAAGTAAGTGGCTGCCAGAAAAACGAGCGCCAAGTTTACCGTAAATAAACGTCGTAATTCCCATAAACTATCGTTAAGTGAAGGAAAAAAGGTAACTTTGTTCTTCGAATCCCTGAGGAGCTGTTTTTTTACTGTGTGTCTGCGATATCACAAAAACCGAATCCAATATTTGTTTAACTATACATTGAACGAAAAAAAAAAAATGGAAGTCATTTTAAAATTGGTTTTTAAACTCCTAATTTGCCGTTTTCAGTTTCGCACTGAACTACTTATGGCATTGCACAATATTCATAAGAATGCCGATGGAATTAGTTATGTCACTGTAACTTGGGTAATAAACTTGTTTTTGTATTTATTTAGATCTTGTTACATCCTCTAGCAGTGCGATGTCTCGTGTTTTCCGTATCGCCACTGGAAACCCGAATAAATCTGTACAGGATGATGTTTATCTCTGAAGTGCCCCACTTGTAACAAAATGCTCGTCTTTCATTTACATACTTACAAATGAAACATGACCTTAGAGATGGAATACGAACAACAATACGATTTGAACAGAGCATAATACAGATATCAGATATTAGAAGCCGCCATGTCTACGGAGGCAGGCATTACTTCCCTGGTTGTGCGCTTTTTACGCCCTATTGCAGGCCTGAATATTAAATTCTTAACATTATTTGACAGCTTCATATCGATCAATACGTATTCGAACACGTTGCAGTTTCAACAAATTCGTTAATTCGTTAATTTATTTATTCATTTATTTTTATTTCTTTATTTCTTTTTTACTTTTCTCTTCTAGTACCGTTAGAAGGCAAAATCTGAGATATTATCTCTGATTAAAATAGCCAGCATTTACCATACCTCTGGAACAGCTCAAAGCAAGAAGCATTAATTTAATTGCCTACCCTCCTCCTCCCGCAGGGTATGTCGTCGGGTTTGGAATCTTCGTACTTAACCTGAAGGAAATTTTGCTGCCCCCTTCAGACCTAAATAATCCTAATCTCGCAGATAAGAATTTCAAACTCTTCAGTTAAAAATCTTGAAGGTTATAAAAACGTTCAAAAAATTCTCTCCATTGCAAAATTGCAAACTACGGGAGGAACTCTTTCCAGAAGAATTGATTTCAAGTTAGATACATCCCATCCGCGAGAGGACAGAACATAAACGCCACATGCATCGGAAAGCATTCGATGGTTGGACGTGGCTGTCATTTAAGCGATAAGAGAACTGAAAATTACTTTGCCGAGAAATCACAATGAACAAGGAAATACGAGTATTTATCAACCTGGGTTATCACATCGCACGCCTGCCATGTCATTAGATGGTTGATACACATCGCTTAGAAAACCATGAAATACGGCAGTATTATAGCCATATAGACCTATCTGGGATTTTGTATGTGTTGGTTTGAAGAAAAATTATGAGCTACTTTGCTCGAATGGAGCTTGTGCTTATCAATAAACACCTCATTGTTTAGATAAGGTCAAACGAGGACGGCTGCCAAATATTTTCCTGGTGCCTGTACTTGCAATTAAATTGTGAAGGGAATAAAATTCTCACGTCCTCGCGTATGTTTCAACAGACGCAGCATTTAAACCTCTTTCTGCTTCATTTCAGAACTCCCTAAAGCTTTCATTGTCGCTGGAGTTCGTGACCCGTAGATTTAACTTCAAAGTGATAGCTCCCCGCGCGAAGTGAAGTAAATATCAAATGAGCACACACATCTGACTTCGATCTTCGCTGATGGCATCCTGTGGAATAAAGCGCCCTCAAACTTACCTTGGACAATGGAAATGCAAGCCAATGAAATAACCAAGAGAAGCAAGATCTTCGACGCACGAGCCATGTTTGCTAATATGGCTTCTAGAAACTTCCAAACGCTGCGTACAATCAAGTGTTGCGTGCGCGCGAAGCTGAGACATGTAAGTTATCCAAAACTCACTAAATAGTAATGAATGAATGAATAACTCAGCTAAGTGGGTATCGAAAATTGTGACGTCACGAAACTGGACACCGTAAACATACATCGGATCTCCTTTTGTCAGAGGTAGTTTGGAAAATAAGGAATGAGGGAATTTGGAAACGGAACCCGACTACTCAGAACACCCGGAATCTTCGAATGATCAAAAATAATGAATTATTTAAATATAAATCAGTTAATTAATAAACAAACATAAGGCAAGGTACGGTGAAGAGAACACTTTCTCTTTAAAAATATGTAAGAATATTAACGAGCAAGCTGAAAAAGAAAAAATTCAAACATGACAATGAAGAGGACCCCGTGATGTAATTAAATAACTACTCATGGCACTATTTATTTGGATGCACGTACCATTCTCGTCCTCAGAGGCCGTGCTTCTTTTGGTCAGCACCACGAATCACGATCTCTGGGAAGGTCCAATTTTCTGATTATGCGCAGAGTAATCGTTTCGTATTCTCAGCCAATCAGATTTGTCAGACTTGACTCTGAACACGCGCAGAGCGACGGGAAGTTCGCGAATCGCGGACTTTCGGTGTTGGACTAGGCCAGAGGTCGCGATTCTTGGTGCTGACCAAGAAGACCGCGGCTTCTGGGGACAAGAAAGATGCGCGAACTAGAACTATCCTTTAATGGTCGTAGCCGTTGTGGAGAGGATGCCATTAGGGGAGGTTCGATTGTAATATTTCTTAAATAATTAATTCCGGTTATTCGGAATATTCCGCTTCTCAATTCCGGCATTCTTATTTTCCAAGATAACCGAGCTTCAATAAACGACATTAAATCGAACGAGAATATCAGCGTTGTATTAAGTGTTTCACCGAGAGGATTCTCAAGTTCTCCTAACTTAGGTCTGATAATTTTCTTATACATTTTTTTTCAGCGCTGAGAATTGCACACCTTAGAATACTACTTAGGGACTTCTTGATAGGCGTTATATCATCAAAAATATCAAAATGCGTGGCGAGGATTGGAGGAATACAAATCAAGTCTTCCAGCATATTTACATCAAGGACACAGAGCAGAAGAAACTCTAGTGATGTCCTACTTGAAAGGTTTCCAATACAGTCCCTCCCCTACCCGTGAAACAACCGCGTGACGGCGGTACAACAACGGTAAAACTGCGGGTCAAGTGCGACACCGCTCTCGGGCGTCCGCGGGTACCGGTGAGATTCCAAAAAAACGCGGAACACGCAAGCGCATACACAGTAATAGAACGTACTCTGCCATGTGCACACTTGGACGTTTGTAAGTTAACACGTGTGCTCAAAACTGCAGTAATTTTGTTTGCTTTCACTCGGGGCGTTACGCTTAATTATTAATTGGTTAACAACTTGACCAGTGAAGCCATTTAAACATCTGGAAAAGCAACACACCACTTATTCAACACAATGTTTATTTCACATATTTATCGGAAGATATTACAATAAAACTTTCCTGACTGTGGTAATAAATAGTCATTGGTCCACAGATATTTCCAAAAAACATTACAACGGTATAAAAATTAATATTTACAAAATCTACAAAGTAGTAATTCCTTTTAAAAACGGCTACAAATTGATATGAAAACTCTCATTTCGCAGTAAGAAATTATGTTTCCCTTAGCAAATAATGGTGAAGTTATCTAAGGGTTATATTCCAATTTCGCAGGAAAAAGGTCTTAAGAACGACCGCTATATTAATTCTTTAGCAAAACGTGGTGCTTCGAAAATAGATGATCTCTTCAGAGATACCAATTTGTATTGATTGAGATCAACCACTCCGTTTTGGTAGGGGGTCAGTTTTAAATGTAATTTGAAGCAAATTAATTTTAGAATAACCCATTTTGCTTCTGGTCATCAGAAATACTTTTAGTCTGTTTTCAGATACTTGCTGTATCTCTGTTATAGTTTTCAACTGAATCATAAAATGAGTTGATAACGAGTATGAACTACAAAAGCAAGAATTGGAGCATTGCTTGGGAATGAATTTTGTTCAATTTCCAATTTGAAACCACGGAAATTAGAATAATTCAATGCAAGTTTAGAAAATGTGTTCGGAATAGCTCAGTATAGTAGTAAAGCGTAAGAAGTATGAGACTTCTGAGATATTTAATCGTCAAACACCTGTTCTCCTTTTTTTCAAATGACAAAAACATCGAAATTTCCTCTGCTATTTGTCGTTCTGAAAGTGCATGGCGTAGGTTTTTTTAAAAACCCAGTTATTTCGATTGTGTATGTGAACATTATTGAGCAGATATTTCAGTGCGGACAAAAAGATTGACCTTCGTTACTATTACTTACATAAAGGCTGGTGAATAATGTGATCCGGAAAAACGGTCTTAGGTTCCTTTTTAAATTATGCTCGTTGCGAGCATAATTTGCGAGCAAGTTTACGAAAAAAACATTTCGCACTGCTTGTGCGGGTTTTTTCCCCTCTAATTTGCATTTCCTTGTAATATTAAAATATATCTCATTTGTGGCAGCTTTGGTTTAAAAGTCTCTGTAAATATCCTTGAAAAATTTGGTCTAAAGGACAGCTTCACCACTTGCCTCAGTCATCCAGTGAAGTGGTAAAGAATTAAATACTGGACACCATGTGAAGTTCATATTCATAATAAAAGCCTCAGACTGACGTCATTCTTTCCCTCCCGGCGCTTGCTGCCTCTTTCAGTGGTGTCTTGCCACTTTCACTTCTTTCTAGAAGAGATATAAGAGTCTCCATCCTGCTTTCCAGTCTCTGCATATTAGAAGCCATTTCTTGAAAACGTTCCTCAAAGTCCGCGTTTTCTGAGGGTCTAAATTCAGTCTGACAATGAGAGCAAGTCGACTTGGCCGTATCTATCATGTGCTGTGGAGCTTCTTCTGCAAAGTCCTCATCACAAACATCGTCCCTTTTAACAACCTCCTCAGTAGTTCTAAAATTTTCATTAACATCATCAGGAGATTCAATTTCAATATCAGCTAACTGCGTTACGTTAATAAAACGTCCATTCAGTTCACCGGATGAGTTATCTTCCATGGAAACACTCTTATATTTATTCAGATCTCCGTTTCCGAGTTTTTCTTTGGAGCTATGTGACGGTTTTTGTTCTAATAATTTACTGCTGCGAACACCAAGCATTGGCTTCATTTCATACTCATGGTCCACAATTAACCGGTTTTTCTTGTGTGTACACTGGTGTTTCCGGTTTGCCCCAAGTTTAACGTGGAATCCTGAGCCATTCTTGTCGGGATCATAACCATCTCCGTTCCCATTGCCATGTGTAACACCCTGTGAGGAGGAAACGGGAAAAGCTTTACTTTGAGAAAGTGGTGCTGCAGCAGATGTCAAGAACCAGCGAGTATATGAGTAAGCGCAATGCTGCTAAACATTAAACATTAAATTAACGCTGGAGAGTTCTACTTCAGAAGCATTGCTTGGGACGTCGTGTTAACATTGGTCCTATCATAGTTAATAGAGGAAAGTCTATGGTCCAATGTCACAAAAAAGGAATTTGATTCCATTTAAGAATCACTGCCCGTAATTGTGCGAGTTACAATGAAATCGGCCAATACATCTGCAGTAATACATACGTGAAATTTTTAGAAGATAATCTCTTTAGCTGGGGAATGCGATGGTAGAATGTTACAGCAATCGAATAGAAAAGCAGAAACAAGTTACCTCCTCATACAGATCATTCTGATCAGCGGCGTCCATCATGCTTAGCAGCTGCGCGCGCA